TCACATGCTTGATGGCTACTGCTACTGTTTGACAAGCAAAGGGTGAAACATAAAGGCTGTCTCAACGTCTCCCTTCCCCCTCTCCTAAGTAGGAAGTTGTGTCTATTCCTGTAATATTCTCAGCGGATGCCAACATGGTGATGACAAACAAAATATATTGAAATGATGATGAGTATGCTTTTGATCAGAGCGAGAGTTTCTCCCTTCGATTGGTTTTCTTCCAAGTTCCAGGTCACAAATCCTGATCTTACCAAACTGGTTTAGATTTATAACGTGCACATTATCCCAAATGAAAAGCGAAGAGCTGATCGACTTATTGATGAGTTAGCATTGATAAGTCCCCATAGGGATGGCTGAGTGGTTGAGGCATATGAGTAATAACTTGGAAATGTCCTGATTCTATTCCCAGCTCCAACACTCAGTGGGAACCAATCTGCTTCGGCCTTGGTGGGTAGGCTTGCATCAATACTTGTGCTTTTGGTCTTTGAAAGACTGCTCGTTGGATCAGTCGAGGAGTGCCCAAGGTCATCCAGACACCACGTTGATTAACAAATTAAAAAGAGTTGGTATTTAAAATAATAGTAAATGACACAGCTTTCTCCTGTAGTTATACTTTTGTCTACAATAACAACAATAATAGTAACTTGTGGTAGGCAGGTAGATATATCTGTACCATCTTGGTACCTGTATTAATAATATCTTACCTTATCACCCCCCCCCCCCAAAGAAAAAGCGGTAGGCAGGTAGATCAGTATGGAGTATCACAATGAAGAGAAGTGCAATTAAAAAAACAAAGAAGAGAAGTAGAATTTGTTCGTCCTCCCCATCACTACATTGGCTAACATATATTGCAAATGAAGGTAAAAAGTTCTTATAATGGTGTCTCAATGTGTGTTAAGATATTTCTCTTATCTGTTTGGTTGAGTTATGAGTGTAAGGTGAAGAGAGGAATGGGTCGAGAGGCCCTCAATCAGTCAGTTGGCACGGATAGATTGGACATGCCTGAACTACCTCCTTCCTTTTGAAGTTTGCACTGGCCATTTGTAAAGTGTAGACTCTGTTGTTCCTTGGGTCTTGCAAATAAAATAGTAGCGTAATACTTGTAGTTTGAACTTGTATTATGTCTGGACCATGTGCTAGTTGTTCATTTCTTGAATCCATTATGAGTAAAGAAGCTTTCTGATTGAAGCTCTACTAGATTTCCTTATATTGCAGGAAACTGCTGTTATGGCTGCTAACCTTTGTGTTGCTTGTGGTTGTAGGTTTTGAGGAGCGGTTCCAAAGAGAAGCTACGCTTTGCTCATCAGCAGTTCGTCCTTCGCTTGTAAAGGTATCTTATTGTTAATCTTTAATTGACAGCTTAGCATTCCTTTCACTTCTTGGCAGTGATCAAATGCTTCTAGCTGTATATGCTTATTCGTTCTCCATGTCGATAATGCCATTACCGCTTTAATGTTTCCATCATAAAAGCAGCCCATTATGGCAAACATAATATTGTCAGCCCAAGTCATTGCGGAAACTCCAGGTTGCTTAATCAGGAGCTGCCACTTTGCTTCTCTTATGAATAAGTGCTCGTTCATGAATGAAGAGCTACCACCTTACTTACGATAGTTAGAAAACCGGGGAGCAGATCATTGGAAGGAATAATTGTTTGTTTTGTTTGATATGTACTGGCAGGATATCCTCCATTCATATCGTACCTCTAGATCGTTTTAATGCTCCACTTAAAGTTCCAACAATTTTAGCACTTCAGTTTTGACTTTTTGTAGTTACTAAGTTTCCTTTTTCCTGATATTCTTACAGCCTCCAGAATATATGCCAGAGAACTTGACTTCATATTCAGCATGGATTGGTGGTGCTATACTTGCCAAAGTTGTCTTCCCTCAAAACCAGCACATAACTAAGGCAGATTACGACGAGAGTGGACCTTCTGTTGTTCATCGAAAATGCTTTTAATACTAGGTGACACATTTGTATCTCTTAAGTCGTAGTCGCTTGTACTCTTTGCTAGAAAGGTAGTTTGATCAACTTCTTGTTTATTTTTAACATGCAGTCCTGTACATCAACTCACCAAGTAGTGGTTTTCTGATTTCTTATTTTTAAACTAAGAGGTTTACTTCAGTGGATATTTGCCTTGTGCTCATTGTAAGTGACTCCCATTATAGCCTACTGGCATAATACCTTGGTTACTTGCAAATTGTAAGAGTTGGGAAGTTAAGTTTCCATCTTCTCAAAGAAGAAAAAGAGTTTAGCTGGTATCCGTTATTGGTGGGAGGTGGCAGATAGTTTATGAAATTAGTCGAGGTACGCACAAGCTGGACCGGACATCACGGTTATATCACGGTTATATGTGTGTGTGTGTGAGAGAGAGAGACTTAGTTTCAGTAGACAAACCACCGTTGGAATGTGGTAAGATAGTTGAGATCTTTTCACTCTTAACGAGATATTTCGGATTCTAGTCTCAAAAGATTCTAATAAAATTAGTCATCTCCCCAATATCAATTTGAGGAGGATTAATTGGAATTTGGTTATCTTAATTATCGCTCAATCGCTTTCGCTGCTTTGGTCAGTAACCTCTTCAAGTGCTTTATCCTCTGATTGCTTTTCTTCTACGCCTTGATTTCTTCGATCTGATCTAACCCAATCTTTGAAACATACCAGCATTTCCAATGTCGGCCCAACCAATGAATGGTTGTTGTCTCTGATTTGCATGCTTTCTTGACTAAAAGCATATTCTGATGCCACGGTTGAAACTGGAATACTTAGCACATCCCGAGCCATTTTAGAAAGAACGGGTAATTCTTTTGAGTTGTCCTTCCACCATTGCAAAATGTCAATATTAGAATATCGATCTGCCGTACCAAGCTTCAAATAAAAATCAAGCTCATTAAAATCGATTCGAGATTGACGTTGTAGAGCGACAAATTCCTGCCAAACAGAAAAACTTCTAAAGCTTTTTTGTGAAGAGTTAGTAGAATCAGAGGTAGGAATATTTGGTGTAACACTATATATTAATTTATGATAATAATCATATAATGCAGAAATGTTTGAAAATATACTAGATTTAGCAGTTTCCAAATCTGGATTTTCTCCCTCAGCAATTTCTAAGTGTTCATATAATACTCTTGTTAATTCTTCTGCATAAAATAATTTAATACAAGGATTTAATATAGCACCAATTTGGAAAATAACTGGAATGGGAAAAAAATATTTTTTAATTTTTTCCTTCATCGCAATAATAACGTCTCTATAAATTTCATTATCCTTAAATTTAAAGAGTAAATAAGCAATTTCAGCTATATAAAGAAAAATATTATTAACACTAGGGCAACAACTACCACCAAAATTTAGAGTAGCTTGATAAAATTTTGATAATAATCTAACAATATCTTTAACAACTTCCCAATCTGAATCAATTAAAAAATTAGCAGAATTTTCAATATAATTATTATATGTAGCAGATATAGGCTCTCTATATTTATATGCAATTTTTAACATGATATATAAAGAATCCCACATTGTGACAATTTCTAAAGGTATTGTTCTTGGTCTAAGATTATAATCTTTGCATTTTCTCCTAAATTCCCCAATTCTAGTTGTTGAATTACTTTGAAAAATAAATGCAATTGCACCTCTAGTTTTGGTAATATAAGAATCAAAAAATTTAAGGCTATCACGCACAATTAAATTAAAAATATCACATACGCATCTAACATGAAAATTTTCATTTAAAGGTGGTATAGATTGTATTTTTAAAGTTGAAATAGCAGAAGCGTTATTATTAAACGAAATACACATAATTTTGTTATTAAGACCATAAAGCGTTAAAACATCCTGAATAGATGCATCAATAGAAGAACCATTGTGTTTATCTTCAATATAGCGATAAGCTATAATACGTTTTTGCATTACCCAATCAGAATTTATCCAATAACATGTTATTGTTAAATAATCTAAGTGATGAACATCACGACTAATATTAAATGTAAGAGAAACTCTACAATTAAGTTTTGAAAATAAAGAGATTAAATATTGTTGATATTCTCTATAAAATTTCAGAACATTATTTCTACAAATAGCTCTAGGAATACCATTAAAACAAGGATTATTATCTACTCTATTAATACATGTAGTAATATCTTTAGAAATAGTAAAGTTAAAAGGTAAACAATCACTAGCTATCGGTTTTGTTATTTTTTCCCGATTTATCTTCTTACCGTAATTAAATAATTTTTCAAATGGGTTAATTATTTGTTTTTTACCAGTAGCCTCAAATTTCATTTTCCTTTGTGAATATGTTTCATTATTATATTGTGAAGAATCATATTCAGAATCATGAGAAGATTGTTGATTAACAGAACTAATACTACTAACTGTTTTTTTACCTTTATTCTTACCCGTTCCCTTACTTAATATACGTTCATTTGAAGCCATAATCCAAATAAAATAACAAAAACTATAAATTCAAAGATAAAGAAACAAATATGAGAGTTATACAAAAGTATAAAGTAAGAGATGGAATGAATATACCAAAACGCCGTGTCGAAAACAGAAAGAAATATAACCATAAATTGTTAAAGCTCGCTCTTGCTAACTTCAAACGCCAAAAAATAATTGAGAAGTTTGGTCGTGAGACGAAAGAATAATAATAATCGACAGGTCTGAATATTATTGAATCTTAACAGCAATAGTTTAAGAGACAGAGAAAAGAGAATTTAGAGAGAATGAGGGATTTTGGTGAGACAAAATATAGAGTTAGAGGTATTTATAGTTGGAATTTGGAGCTAAAATGTAATATTTCAAAGTTGGCGGTGAAAAAAAAAAGAAAAAAATTTCCCGTTTTGGGCCGTTGCCCAACGGCTAGTAGGCCTGAAAAAGAAAATTTTTGGTGGGTTATTGTGCCGGGCCTGACGGGCTGTTAGTGGGCTGGGCCGGTCCCGGTCCCGGTCCCGGTCCCGTTCCCGGGCTAGGGATAAAATTGGAAATTAACAACTTAGGGTTTTATTAGTAACCCCATTTATACATTACTGCTTCTGTCTTTCTCTCGTCTTTGGCAGCAGCAGCAGCAGCACAGCAACAACAAACCCTAACCCGAAGACCCTATCATGGTGATTTTTTCTCCCTTTATGTTTTTTACATTATTAGATCTACTTATATATACATTACTCTTTTTATTGTGAACTCTTTAGTTTTAATTTAATGAACGAATAGTAGAATTAGGTGTTTTGATTACTAAATATCTTGTTTTGCTAGTCGGGAGATTAGTTGAGGTAAATGTTGATTGAGGATTAGGAATGAAAATGATAAATTATTAGGTTTATTTGATTAGAAGTTTTCCTTTTGTCTATTTTGGGTTTGTTCTAACATTTTTGTATGATAACAAGGATGGACATTATTGTGGAAGGTAGTTATTTTGGAGTTAATAAGTTTCTGGGATTTTTCTGTGAATAAAAAGCCGATTTTGAGCCCCCAGGTTTTGGTCTAGTCGTAAGAGCTCAGGTTATGATGTGTTGTTAGGTGCACGTTAAGTGGCAAAGGGTAGAGGGATGGGTGCATTATCAGTTATGTTTTGAACAAAGCAACTGCGCTCAATGATTTTTCGGTTATGAAAAGAAAGCCAATCTTGCCCCTCCAGGTCTAGGGCTTTGGTCTATTGGTGAGAGTGCAGGTTGTGATATATAATTAGGTGCACGTTAAGCGGCGAAGGGTAGAGGGACAGGCGCATTATCAATTAAGTTTTGAACAGTGTGCAACTTGCCCCTCAATGTTTTTTCGGTTATGAAAAGAAAGCCATTCTTGAGCCTCCGGGGCTTTGGTCGTTGTGATGTGTAGTTAGGTGCACCTTGAGTAAACTAAGGGTAGATGGGAGGGCTCATTATCAACTAAGTTTTGAACAGTGCGCCACTGGCCCTTGATGATTTTTCGGCTATGAAAAGATATCCAATTGTGTTCTTGATGTGGAGATATTAGAGTTTGCAATTGATACTTAAATGAGTATTAATTTTAACCTTCTTTCAGTTTCTGTTGAAGTAACTGAATTTCTTCAGGATTATTTGTTTGAACCCCATCGAGCATATTGGCTGTTCCTGTCTTGACTCTTCTCTTCATTATATGTACATTAGTTAGAAATACTTGATATATGTTGTGCAATTGGGGGAATATTGATGAAGTGACTTGTCTTCTACTAGTTTGTAAAAGACCTGCAGTTTGATTATATCTTAAAACTTGATGATTGAGGTTCCTTGTTTTCCGTTTCGTTGCTTTGTCCTGGATACATTAGTTCTTACCCGTTAAGCAGGCAAATATTTCATGTTCAATTGTTCATTACCATTTAATTTGTTGAGATTGGGCATTGGAACTTGTTTAAGACTACTTTGTGCATTTTTTAAATCCTTATATTAGACATTGAACTTTTTAACTGAATAATTTTTTTCAGCCGAAGCAAATCCACGAAATCAAGGATTTCCTTCTCACAGCAAGAAGGAAGGATGCACGATCTGTCAAGATCAAGAAGAATAAGGATATGGTCAAATTCAAGGTTCGCTGCTCCAAGTACCTCTACACACTCTGTGTGTCCGACTTTGAGAAGGCCGACAAGTTGAAGCAGTCACTTCCTCCAGGTATAGACATGTCTTTCGGTGCTTACATTTTACTTACCTTCTTCCATTTGGCAAGTTTATCTGCTCTATTGTTACTGAGTTCGCATAGTTCAGTAGATCAATTATCTAAGTAAGTAGTTCATGAATCTAATGATTTGAATGCATTTTGATTTATAGGTTTGAGCGTGCAAGATCTTTGAAGATGGAAGGATTAATGTTTTTTTCCCTTAGACTGTGATTAGGTACTGGAGAATTTTAAGAACTTGTTGTTCCTTTACCATTTCTTGTCCTGTTGAAGTCTAAAGTTTTGATCAAATTTAGATATTGCACTGCTTTTTCTCTTGTCCGTTTTGACTTTATTGTGAGATCTTATATGGTGTTAACAGAATTTTGATGGTAGGATGCCAAATTTGGTTTATTTGGCTGATCCCAAATTCCTATGATTAGAGTATCTTTAAATTCTCAAATACAAGGAATGTCAGCTTTTCTTGTTTCAAAAAAATAGTTAAGTTGGATCTTATACCAAATCATGTCCTTTTTATAACAGTCAAGAATGTTAAAATTGTCTAATACTTGAATAAATGAATGATCTTATGTCGAATGTAAATATTAGATTTTAAGTGGATTCTTAGAACTTAGAAGTTAGAAGTACCTCTAGCCTAGCTCATTTAATCAAAATCTCAATTCCATTTTTGTTAAATACCATTCAATGACAATTCATATTGTATTTCATAATGCACTTCAACAATAGTAAACCTAGTGTAATCCTATTAGTGGGGTCTCGGGAGAGTAATGTGTACGCAGAGAGTAATGTGTATGCAAAGACTGATTCCGATAGACAGACCCTTGGCTCAAAGAATAGTGAAAGTAAAGCAACAAATAATAGTAACAACAATGTAATAGAGTAATGAAAGCGAAAGACATAACATGTAATAATAAAGAACCAACAATAAGAAAATACAAGAATAATACTAGTACGTCAAGTAAGGGTTTATTCATTATACATCTCAATCCGGATTAGAACATTAATCCAATGCAAGTTACCTCTCTTTGTTTTCACCATATAATTGATTGATTATGACAGCATAAAAAGACAGCTCAATGCACTAAGTTCCTGCTATGCGCAAGGTTCGGGGAAGGGACAAATCGACTTACCAATAATAGGTAGATTCAATATATTGGTAAGTGCTTGAGCTATGAAAATGCAGACATACAGCAAGTTCATCAAATTCCTCAAGAATACCCTTATTTTGGCCACTATCAAAATCACAAAGCATATGAAATGACTTATCTGCCAAATTGTAACGTAGAATGGCCATTTCAGGAATATGCAAAACCAAGAAAGTATCCTCCTCTTTCTCTCCTCTTACAACATTAACCACAACCATTGCACAGTAATGAAAATCTGTTTGCTCAAGATAACGTCGAATTATCCTAGGATATGCTAACACAACATCTTCAACATTCACTTCGTATTTCAAGAACCACTCAGTACCATCATTTTTCATCTCGTAAATATTGTACGAAGTTAGTTTCTGGCTTCTCACTTGTATTAAGTGCAAATGGCCATAAGACTCTCCAAAATAGACAATCCTATGATTCTCTTTATCCCACTCTTGTCCATCAAAGCAATTAGGCATAGGAAATTCTTCAAACTGTTCTTGTTCCAGATTGAAACGCTTGTTACATGACACATAAATGGCTCCATTCCAGTAAACTAGACCATGTCTGAAACTTATATCGTAACGTTTAGGGAAAGATGGACCAGAAACTCTCCATTTCTTAGTTTCAGATGAGTAAATCTCAATCTGGTTCTCAGGTTCCAGTTCAGAAATTCGGAGACAGATGACTTTGTAATGAGGCGATTTCCGCGGATCAAAGGCTAAACTCATCCCAATAACATCCCCTCCTGGTTTAGGAAGTGTGATGAATTGTTGAGTAGTTGGGTTGAATATATAGTAATCCTCATTAAATGTAAATGGATTATGTTTGGTACAACAAAGCAAAAGTCCATTGCAAGATTGCATTATAAAGATTTTAGGAGAGTCATGTTGTGGAAAAGGGAACATTTGGAATGGTGTTGGAATTGGATTTTCTAAGTTAAAAGACACAAATTTGTGAAAAGGGTTGGTTAAAAATGAAAATGCCACGAGCAGGGCTGAAATAGGGGATTCTGAGGCGTGTGAAGTGAGAACTAGAGATTAAAGAACGCCATTTTTTCGATATGCATTTGCATTGGACGAGTGATTTTATAGGCAGGTGTAGGAGGATTTCCGTCATTTGAGAAAACTATATTTGTAGAAAATTTGGAAGGACTAATTATGATCTTCTTTTTGCTCTTCGGCATTTTTTTGGAATAGGGCAGCCTGATGTACAAAATATCCCTCGTTCTCCGAGGAAGGGTCACTCTCCAAGGGCATGTGATGTAGGCAGCCTGTTCTGAGGAATGGTTGTCTAAAGAAAGTTTCTTAGATTGAAGCCTTTATGGATATGAAATGGCCATTTAAAAGTTGGTTTTTGCAAACATTGAACTTGCAGAGAACGTTTCCTTTGACATTCTTTATTTTGTTTGCTTGTTGGATTTTAATTTGATTCCTCAAATGAAATATAATATGCAACCAAAAGTCAATAAAATATAATAAGAGTATGTCTTTGTTATTGTGAGTTAAACGTTATATCATTTTACATCAGACTTAATTGACGAGAGGTAATTTTTTTTAATATTATTTAGCTAAAGAATTGGCATTACTTGCACACTCCTAAATTGGTCATACGTTATAACTTGAGAAATTACGCTTTTTACGAGGTACGTGAATTTGGCATTTGACAATAGTATTAATCAATGCGCGGAGCCATAATTTTTACTAGGAGGAGGCAAAATATAACGATAGTACAAGAAGTTACTGAGTTGTATAAAATTCAGCAAATAACATAAAGTTCTGAAAGTTATAAACTTGAAATTACTTGGCTCAATATTAAATAATTGGGGGCGCTCAAGAAAAACTAAAAATTGAATCTAACCAAAAAAATCGAGTCAAACCGACTTGTATGTGGTTTAATACTGAACTAGAAAAGAACCAAACCGTCATAAAATATATTTATTCTTATAGATAATTTATAATTTTACATATTTTTTCCTTAAATTTAGGCTAGATATAGTCTTGATCCTTGCTTGAAATATAATATTTGATATGATTATTATGGAGTATCCATTTTCGTTTATTTAAATATTTGATTTTGCCGTGTATAATTACTTTCTTATCTAAGTTTTGTGCAAATGTCTTTGATTTTTCACAACTCACGATGTATTGAGTCATTAACCATTCTGATTTGTTTATTCTTTCAAATTATTAAAATTTGGTTAAAAGTGATCTGTCGGTATGAACATATATAAGTTTGTCGTTAGATTAGTGAAAGGATATATTTATCTTGTATAACGAAGAATATTCTTCACATAAGGGATTCGATGATTATAAATTGTTTAATGTGTTCATTTCTCCCTAAACATATATTCGATTTATAGAAATTTAAAAAGTTTATCCATAACTATAATTATCCCTTTATATTTCATATACTAACATGGACGGATGTAGTGTGTTAGCAGCTGGTTCAATTGAACACATAACTTTTGATGCGGAGTAAAAATATGTCTAAAAATTTATTAAAATTGCAAAATAGTAGATATGAACCCATAACTTTAAAAATATAATGCGCTCAATGCCAAAAACCTTAAAAGCTGAACCACAAAATTTAAATTTTTAATCCGCCTCTGTGTACCAAGGTAAGAAAATTCAAAAGAACCGAGAAAACTAAGTAATATTCCTAACCTCGCCTAATTAATATAAACTTAATAATATTGAAATAAAATGCACTACACTACAGAAAGATAGAGAACACGTGAAGTCAGCAAAAGTAAACTTCTTCGGAGAGAGAAGCTTTGACTTCTCACTAGATATTATTAACACAACTCTCTCTAACTCCAACCAAATTACCACCATGAACACTGATGACACTGCCATAAAAATGGATACGTCTACTATCCCTCCAAAACCACCGGACATCCTTAATGATGTGAAAGAAACTCAATTTCCATTGAATCCACCTATCTCGCTCCTACGAAGACAAATAACTAAGGGAGAGATATTTAGCATTGATTCTGACACTTTTTCCAATACTCTATCATCCTTTACTTTACTTTATCTTTTGGAAAAGTGGATAATATTATTTATAACAACTATCGTGGCATTACATCACTAATACTAATAGTAGGAATAACAGTTAGGTTTCCAAACTTTGCCAGTTTGTTACATATGGCACTTGATAAGAGCCTAGTAGTAGGTGTTTCATTTTTGTCTTCTTACTTGACATCAAAGAACCCTCTAACTTCTAAGGAAAAGAATATCTCCCTATCCCAAGAAGATAAAATCCACATGTATCTGCCATGGCAATATTCCTTAATTATCAAGTTTCAAGGCAAACGTTTATTACATCAAATCATTAGGAGGAAGGTCCAGGAATTGTGGAAGGTGAAAGAAAATTTCCCTAGGAGCTGATTATTACATTGCAAAATTTCAAAATAAAGACAGTATGGCAGCTATCCTTGAAAATGGTCCATGATATAATTTGGTCACTTTTTATCATGTCAAAAATGAAAACCAAATTTTATTGCATCCGAGGCAAAACAATCTTTTACTGCAATATGGTTTTGTCTTCCAAACCTTCCTACAGAATATTATGATGGATATATTCTTCAAAAAATTGGAAATTCAATAGGCAAATTGTTGAAAGTTGATGCATGTACATCAGCAACATTAAGGGACCGGTATGCCAGATTATGTGTGGAAATACCCATGGATCAGCCGGTTGCAAAATATATCTATATAGAAGACTATAAACAATTAATAGAATATGAGAGTGACAAAATATTTTGCAAGAAATGTGGAATGCTAGGCCACACAGGTAATCAATGCCCTCGTATAATAAATTCTCTGCCAGAAAAATATCAATGGGAAAGCAACAACCAATCATCAGGAGGCCCAAAAGGCTCACTTGCATCAAAAGGAAAAATGGCTGGCGCACAGTGTCTTTCCATAGATCAAGGAGATTGCAGAAGAAAGTATTAATGGAAGACTCGGAATCATCACTGGCAACAGGTATAAACGTTAAGTTATTCAATGCTGCTACGGGTAAGTATATTAACACTCAAAAATTAAAATTTGTTAGCAAAGATACTGCTTCATCTTCTAAAGGCAGTAAAAGATCCCCTCAAGTACAAAATACCACTTTTATCTCTAAACAAGATCAAGCTACTAGTTTTCAAGTATAAAAACCGCTTCACTAGCTTAAACTATGAGACCGCAGTTTTGCTAAACTACTCAAATACTAATAAATCAGTTTTTACCTTAGATAATAACATGCATGACATTTGTAGGGATTTGGACACATTAAACGAGGTAGACCCTACCCATACAACTAAACCCTTTGTCACGCATGGTAATAAAAATGCTAATCTACCTGTTAAGACAAATCAAACACACAAACTAGCTAACCCCCCTAATAATGACATAATTAGTTCTATAATTCCTAGTACAAACGTTACAAATTTACCCAATTGAAGAGACCGCCTGTCAGCAACCCCTCTATCCAATAACCAAATGTTGGAAGAGTGCCAACACGTGCCAATTGCATTGCATGCAAAATCTTTTATAATATCCCCTACGCTAAACCATTCTGGTTGCATGCATCTAGATGCAATCATTCCCTTCACCCCAATCCCTCCTATTTTAACTATCAACTTTCCCTCTAAAAATGCCAAGGCTTCCCATAAACAGTCGGAGAAGATACCGACTAATCCAAATTCTCCGTCATCAACGTCCTTCAAACATGGACAATCTCCCTCCTCTCCCCCCACAACTCCAACATCCCCCGCTAATCTTTATTCAACCACCACCAACACAAAACCATCATCCAATGTCTTGGATAGAGATAGGGCTAATGGGGAGGGGTCTAGTGTTCAATGCCATAATCAATGGCCAAGAAAATGTGATCCTAATTCAAAATCCACGCTACTTAGCATAATTAGTGGCCGAGGGACTACACTTGACAATGAAAAATTTCTTGAACCATGTTTGGGTGAACAACATCCTACAACCGTTAGCTCCACAACCAAATACAAACCTAGTGCAAGAAATGAAAGCCCAATGGAATCTACCCCCTCACTTCAATCCAATCCCCATTCTCCCACAAAATCTAGGCTTGGACCTCCCTTTCTTCCCATTGGAAGCCTTAACTGCCATCTACCCCATATTGATGTAGTGGGAGCCCCTCACCAAATGCCACCTCCTCAACCACAAGCACAGAACCCAAACATGCAAACGCATATGAGGGAAATAGATCCCAATCCCCCAATAATACCAAATGTAGGAAATCCAGTGGAAGAGGAGATGAATGAAGAAATAGACTTAGTAGGAGAATCAGTGGTGGAATTATCAAACCTAGACGAGGTAAAAGTATTCTTATTCAAGGAAACCCACGAGAAGATGCATATTCTTGCATGCCCTCGAAACCTAACCAAATGCTCAATGGACATTCGTCCCCCACACGACCCAACAGTGGGCAACATGGCAATGATCCTAGTTCCCTCCCTAAAGAGGAACTCAACTACCCCTAGGGTGTTGATGGAAAATGGCCATGCACATGCACATGCACAAGAGTTTAACATGATCAGTCCTACTAATTTCATTATATGGAACATTG